TTTATTCTCGAATGGAATCTTCTAGAGTTTTCTTGAAATGTCTTTCCTGGATGTCGATTGATATTGCAAACACGTCGGCGAAGTCGCAAATTCGATATCTCCCTTGGTTTCCAAATAGAATATTCTAGAATTTTTCCAAAATTCCTCGAAATTCTTTTTCTGAATGACGATTGACGTATCAAATACGTCGGTGAAGTCACAAATTCGATATCTCCTTTGGTTTCCAAATAGAATTTTCTAGAACTTACTTAAAAATTCACTGTACAGTCAAAATCGGGTATACAGTCACTTCTGGGGTAATTTATACAATCGATTAAGTTTCTTTTGGTGATTGGCCACACTAGTATCCGCGCACTATTCTGCAATCGGATTTCATTTTGCAGTCCTCGAATTATATCCCACTTCTGACACCAATGACACAATGTCACCGCTCTGGGGTGCGTGACAGAAATCTTGGGGTTCAAACAACTTAACTCTTAACAATAATCACTATCTAAAACGTATCACAGCCAATCTTAAACTTAAAAACTACTAATACTGGCCTTTATATATCTGTAATCCATTCGGGTAAAATCCAGAATGAACGCGATAATCTATTTGCCCGAATAAAGCAGTATTTTCTAGATTTTAAGTTAGATTCTATACAGTTTGGTGAAGGCGCCACCGTAACCATACGTTTTTAAATGTAATGTCTACGCTGTTTTTAAATTTCATTTTAACTTGTTACGGCTTGTGTATTTTTTAAATTCTCAAAATAAATATTATGGTGATGTTCCAAAGACAAAAGAACCCTTATAATACCTACAATAAGACCTGTGATAATATTTTAATGACAAGGAAAGTTAATTTCTAAGTGTAAGTACTAGTTATTATCTATGTTATTATGTTCTTTATGTCCACCTGTTCATTATTTATTGATTTATTTTATTTTTTTGACGTCTATTGTAGTGTCCTGAGGATGTAACTTAATTTTGCGAAACGTCGACAATTTTAGAGAAAACAAACTTCCGTTGGAGTTTTTTTTCCGATCCTACCCCAATTAAATAAAGGACAACATTAACTTTTGGATCGACAACGCTTAAATTGGATTTACCAAAAATAATTTAATTATTACGATGTAAATCGATGTTATTTTTGCAATATTGCATTATGTTATAATTTCAGGCAGCATAATCAAATTTTAAATATCGTTATTAATGTTTGTTATGTTTATGTATTATCACAGAATATATAGCTAAACCGCTATATGTATATTCTGTGGTATATCTACTGGGGGAAGGAGAGGATGGAAGGATCTTTGGTCGGGATTTTTTCAGCTGCGTCAAGTTAGCCCCCCCCATAACCAAATTTAATAACTTTTATGTTAGAAATCAATTGTGCTAGAATTGTGCTGAATTTTGCTATTTTGGTACCTTACTGAGCTATCTACAAAAAAGTAGAGGGGGGCTAACTTGACACTTAGTCCCCCCATTTTTTTAAATTTTAAATTAAAAAAAGTGGTATCCTTGAGAATCGGAATTGTGCTGCTCATCACCCCATTTTTTATTCAAACATTATGGCGTTTGGTGGGCAGGGCTATGTTGACGCTCAGCCACCCTTTTTTTTAAATTGTGCATTAAAAAAGTGTTTTTCTTGAGAATAGGAATTGTGCTGCATATATTTTCCCTCATACTTTATTCTATCACCCCATTTTTTGTTTAAGCATTATGGCGGAGCTAACTTGACGCTCAGCCCCCCCATTTTTTTGAATTTCCATTTTAATTAGGTAATTGTACTGAATTGTGCTGCACATATTTCTCCTCCATCGCCCAATTTGTTGTTTAAACATTATGGCGGGGCTAGCTTGGCGCTCAGCCCCACCTTTTTTTAAATTTTCCGTTTTGTAAAAGTTTATTTCCGTCGAAATATTTTTTTTTTTGTTACCTACCTTTTTTTGTGTTTCTTACTTACGTCGCCGTTGTCAAACCTTATTTTCAATAGATATAAATTTTTATTTTGCCTAGAGTTTCCATTTGTCGAATACTTATTTTTTATTCCCGTTGAGCCATGGCAACGCTAGTGTGAAACTAGAACATATTTGAATAAATATAACCATGGGCTCTCATTTTTAGGTACTGCGCGTCAAGTTATCCCAGCCATAATGTTTAAACAAAAAATGGGGTGATCGAAGAAAGTGAGAAGAAAAATATGTGCATAAGAACTCTAAGTCTCAAGGAGAACACTGTTTTTTGACAAAATTTGAAAGAAGGGGAGCTGAACGTCAAATTATCCCCGCCATGTTTTTGAAAAAAAATGGGGCGTTGGAATAAAGTATGAAAGAAAATATCTGTAGCACAATTTCGATTTTCAAGAAAAACACTTTTCTAAAGCAAAGGACTCCGCAATATTTAAATGGAAATTGGTTACCCGTGATATTTGGATGAAATTTCAATATATTATTGGGGATGCCGTAAGCAACATTTTTTACCATGGGCACAACCCTGTATATATGACAGGTTAGGCGTGGTTAGCTGTCAAATATTGAAATCTTATATCCAAAAGAAGAGTGACTATGGCATATTTTGATGAACAAAAATTCTATTTCTACTAAGTCGACAAAGTTAAGTCGAAAAAGTCAACCATTTTGACACCTTCCAAAACCCTGTCAAACGGCCGCACTCATCTTTTCCAGTTTTCAATATTTCATGATGTCATTTGACACTTTTAACTTGTATGTAAATTCTGAAGTCAAAAATTGAAAAAAAAATTACAGAACTGTCAAAACCTGTCATTTGTTTTAGTAGAAAAAAATACTCTAATCTGATTCTTTTTTGTTTCAAGGCAGTTTATTGGTGATAAAACATTAAACAAAGTTCATGCATGTCACATTTTGACAACTGTCAGAATCTGTTCTTGCTTTTTGGTTCATATTGAGTTTGTTTGCTTAGTGAAGTTCTACAACTACAATGATAGAATAATACAATAATACAATAGAACTAAACCTTCACTAAGCAAACAAACTAAATATGAACCAAAAATCTATTAACAGATTCTGACAGTTGTCAAAATGTGACATGCATGAACTTTGTTTAATGTTTTATCACCAATAAACTATCTTGAAACAAAAAAGAATCAGATTAGAGTATTTTTTTCTACTAAAACAAATGACAGGTTTTGACAGTTGTGTCATTTTTTTTTTTCAATTTTTGAATTCAGAATTTATATACAAGTTAAAAGTGTCAAATGACATCATGAAATATTGAAAACGGGAAAAGATGAGTGCTGCCGTTTGGCAGGGTTTTGACAGGTGTCAAAATGATTGACATTTTTCGACTTAACTTGGTCGACTTAGTAGACATCGATACTTCGTTCATCAAAATCTGTCATAGTCACTCTTCTTTTGGATATAATATTCCAATATTTGACAGCTAACCACGCCTCACCTGTCATATATACAGGGTTGTGCCCATGGTAAAAAATGTTGCTTACGGCATCCCCAATAACATATTTAAACTTCATCCAAATATCACGGGTAACCAATTTCCATTTAAATATTGCGGGGTCCTTTAAAAAAGTGGGGTGATGGAATAAAGTATGAAGAGAAATTTGTGCAGCACAATTCCGATTCTCAAGGAAAACATTTTTTTTTTATTTAAAATTCAAAAAAAAATGGGGGGAGCTGAGCGTCAAGTAAGCCCCCTCTACTATTTTGTGAATAACTCAGTTACTAAAATAGCACAATTCCTAATATTGACAACACAATTCTAGCACAATTGATTTCTACCAAAAAAGATATTAAATTCGGTTATGGTGGGCTAAGTTGACTCGCCTGATTTTTTTGGCTGAATTTTCTGTGAATTGAAGCTCCGTGTGCATCTTTCGTCCTTCTGGTTCGTGATATGGCCCTTGGTGCTTGATATGAAGATCAACACCCTGGTAAACTTTTCGACACCTCCACCATTTGTCACGCTTAGGTCGGTTGTGGTGAGCAGTGCCACCACTTGTACTACATTTGGCTGCTTCGGCTAAAGGTTTAGCTGGAGAAGAGGTTATAGGGGGAAGGAAAGATCTCACCAGGAGTAGTTGATGGTTAAATAGGGTTTTCCAAATGCTCTTCCCTGGTGGGCCATCATATAACGTTCCCTTGGGATGCTCGTTTTTAGGAAAGCCCTACTTTGTCAGGGCCTTTTTGTTAGTACCCAAACTGCCCTATGAAAATGTACCCTCTAGGAGCTTAGTTTTCGTAGGTCTAGATTTGGGGCGTTGAAGTGGGGCCGCTACATCAAGACATTCACCTCTCTCAGTCAAACTGTAGCAAGTCACACTCAACTTGGAGAGGAAGTCTTTTGGCCTGTACCCTCGAGGAGCTTTGAGGCTGTGGAAACTAACCTCTGCCCGATTTTATACAAGAATTATTGCCACCGTCAGCAGAGTCAGTTAATTTTCTGTAGTCAAGTGTGAAATTTATTTTATTTTTATAGTCTGTAGGCCTGTATACATTTATGAGTTGACAATATCAGCATACATTTTGTTTTACTAGGGGTTATACAATATTTTATCTTCAAGCTTCAAGCAAACTTAACACGGAATTGGTCCATTATGTACCTAGGACCATTCATGTATGGGGTAATTTGTTCGTTTTTTCCACCCTACATATGCTCAGGATATGGAAAATTAAATTTGCACTATACTTGTGTGAATGTGTAATAGAGACTATTGATTTTGTTTATTGAATTGTTGTTATAAAAAAAATTGAATCAACTTTATGTCAATATTGACCTTTGGTATATTCTAATCTGTCACCTCATCAATCTGAAATTTATAAATTGTCTTCCTACTGGGTACACATCCTAAGTCAATTCAATTATTATGGGAACAGTAAAGGGAAGTTATTATGAGGGGTTAAGTTTGTTTTTCCTCTACATCTGATTAGAAATAATTGTTAATGATGTATACCAACTATGCTAAATATTCCACTATTTAAAACTCTAGTTTTTTTATCTTTTGTTTTGTTATTTCAGGTTGAAACACCATAATATTGTACAACTGTTGGAAACGTTTGAGGATAAATCCAGATTCTTTCTTGTAATGGAATTGTAAGTTTTTATTTTTTTATACATGTATTTTATACATATATAGAGTGGAATTTTCATTTTGAGCTGTAACTTTTTTTTGTTGTTGACAAATAATTTCCTTTTGTTTAGGCTTGTTTAAAAGAGAAATGAACAGGCAGCAATATGGCAAACTTTTTCTTAAATTACCTAGTTTTGGATAGCGCTAGAACTTTTTTGTGACTCCTTGTATAACTTTTTTTAGTAAATTCTTAATTTTGCGAACATTTCAAGGCCTCGAGAGGAAAAATCGAATTTTTTGTAATAACGAATATCAACTTTTCATATCGAAAACAAGGTAATCTCTTTGAAGAGTCCGCCATCTCGTCTGCCATTTTGAATTTTTCTCAAATTTCAAAAGTTTCACTTTGATTCGTTAGCCTCTTCATATATACAGTGTGTCCCGCTTTTCATGAATACACCCCGATATCTCAGTTATTAATAATGCGATTTTGTTCAAATTTTGATGAAGATTGTATGTTAGAAAAATGAACTATTTGACATAGTAAAAAAAAATTATTTACCATTGGCGTGCGGTGTTGGGGGGTAAAAAGGGGTTGTATTTTTGGGAAAAAAATATTAGGGCTTATTTTAGATAATTTTTTGTATCAGATTAAAATTCAGCATCCCCAAAAACCCCGTAATTCATATTTTCAAAATGACAAGAGCAGATTTTACAAAAAAAATCATCCCTTGAAAAATATGAATTAAGGGGTTTTTGGGGATGCTGATTCTTAATCTGATGCAAAAAATGATCTAAATTAAGCCCTAATATCTTTTTCCCAAAAAAACAATACCTTTTCACCTCCCAACATCGCACGCCAATGGTAAACAAAAATGTTTACTATGTCAAATAGTTCATTTTTCTAACATACTTAACTCCAAAATTTGAATAAAATCGCATTATTAATAACTGAGATATCGGGGTGTATTCATGAAAAGTGGGACACACTGTATAATATAAACTTCTACTTGTGAATTAATTTTTGGTATATTTGACATTGTAATTGGAAATTGACGAAAAATGTTCTGCCTTCACAAACAATTTTCTTGTTAGGGTTACAGGAGGCGAACTATTTGATAGAATAGTAGAAAAAGGCTCATACACAGAAAAAGACGCTTCAGATCTGATACGTCAAGTTTTAGAGGCAGTTGACTATATGCATGAGCAAGGAGTTGTCCATAGAGACTTGAAGGTGATTTTTCTTGTTTTTTATTTCAATACATGGTAACTGATTCAAGAACAATTTTAGCCGGAAAACTTGTTATATTATAGTCCAGATGAAAATTCTAAAATAATGATCAGCGATTTTGGGCTCTCTAAGATGGAAGATTCTGGGATTATGGCCACTGCCTGTGGAACACCAGGATATGTAGGTAATAGAGAAGTTGCTACTTATATTTATATAATTTCTCCCCCACATACCTACACGATAACCGAACATTTAATTTTAGCTCCAGAAGTACTTGCACAAAAACCCTATGGAAAAGCAGTTGACGTTTGGTCTATAGGAGTAATTTCTTATATTCTTCTTTGTGGTTATCCTCCGTTTTATGATGAAAACGATGCCAATTTGTTTGCACAAATCTTGAAAGGTTAGTTTTGTATGACACAATTTCCTAATAAAGGTTTTATTGAGACTTATCAGAAAATAGATTTTACCGGTTTCAGAAAAATTGTTTAATTTAATATTATTGAAGCAAAAAAACAACAAAGCGGTAATTTCGAATAGTTTTTATCATTATTCTATGAGGCTTCGAAAGTGATTTCTGAAATTTTAATGAAAACTAAAATACTATCTGTTTATTAGGTGAATATGAATTCCATTCGCCATATTGGGATGATATCAGCGAATCAGCAAAGGGATTTATTTCCAATTTGATGACTGTCAATGTAGAGAAAAGATTCACGTGCAAGCAAGCTTTAGCTCATCCTTGGTAAGTTAGATAGTAATAAATTAAAATGCATTATTAATAGGTGATATATTAGGATATCCGGAAATACTGCTGCCACAAAGAATATCCATGGAACTGTAGCCGAGCAACTTAAGAAAAACTTTGCTAAATCTAGATGGAAGGTATAATAATTATTTGTTTATCATATTATAACAAAGGGGTGTCCAAAAACGAATGAAAAGTTTTATTTGTAGAATAAACCTCTTTTTAACAATCTGTCTGAAACATAATTTCATCTAATAATCACTAAAATGTTGTAACACAAGAATTAGTAGAGAACACTTAAAAAGGGACAAAACAAGATGGCAAGAATTTTGAATTTGAAAAGTGCTTTCATTTTATGACACCCTTCAAATTTTCTTATATAGACCTAAAATGTGGGTATGTGCAAATTTCACATACCTACATAAAGTTCTCTATCCTCGTTTTCAGCAAGCTTATCATGCCACCACTGTGATCCAAAAAATGAAGAAAATGGCGCTGACAAATAACAGCAACAGAAGTCCTACTATGCCAAGGTGCACTGGGGGCCGACAGCCTAGCGCTGATAGGACTTAAGTCTTGGATTTATTCCGAATATATAACTCGCTTAATTATACTATTAGCTCGATCGATCAAAAATATCATTAAACTTGATGTCTCGGGTCAAAATTCTGTTATGATTAAGAATTAGGGTTTTATCTCCTTTTATTTGATTGTAATAAAATTTTAACTCAGCTTGCTTAAGAGTTGCTTATCACCTGAAAAACTCAAATACTATACTCGATATTAGCAGAAAAGCTAAGTAGCAAATGCATTTAGATAATGATAGAGTGTGAATTTGGGTTTTTCACTTAACAATAATTATTAATGTATTGTGGTTACTAGAAGTATAATTTTATTAATTGCTCAGATTACAGATATGTGTCCAAAGAATATATGTCTCGAATAGTGTATTATATTCTCTAGCTGCAACAATATTGATGTTACTGTACAAGGCATCCTTGAAATTTTTCCTTTGAAGATTGCTGAATTGCATAATACATAGTCAACTTATTTTTAAAAATTTGTTCATCTTGCAACCAAAATCAATTATTGTTTTTTACCCAGAATAACTTAGTATAAAATACATTTTTTAATAGGTTTTGTATAGGTATAAGAATTTTATTTTTCTATACAATATTTATTAAGTATATGTACTTGAGTCAATACAGATCATTATTAACAAGATCATCATATTGTAAAATAATATATATTTCACAAATTAATGCTGAATAGGTTAGAATTTATATTTGCTGTCATTTGAGTTGGAAAACGTTATGTTTTCTACTATAAAGAGGCTTCAAATATTTGTTTTTATAACACTTTTGTTATTTCAACTAAAATATTTAAATTCTGATGTTAAGGAATTTTTTAAATATTTTATTCCTTTTTAGAGGGTGAATCCGAAGAGTCTGGCTGATTTGTTAAATTACTGCTGGGATTGCCATTAACACGTAGGGTAGATGAATGAATAGTACTCGCTGGCCAAAATCCGTCTGCACGCCCACGGCATGCCTTTCACAAGTTCAGCTAGTTCCTTCATGAGCCCTTTTATGACACTCCATGGAGAAGCCCTTGGGCTAAAAGCTGCTGAAGTAACGATATTTGGGCGTATGCCCATCACTGTGTACTTTTTGAAGAAAATTTCACCTGTGGAAATGTCTGGAAGGCTCTGATCTAATTTCAGGCATGAATCTGCTTTGATTTTTACCAATGCTTCAGCTCCATCTTTGCCAAGGCCCGACGTTCCAGGTCGGTCTTAAGCACTAGTTCCGGTTACATCTGTGTATGAAGCTACAGCAGTACAGTGCGCGCGTTTTTCAGGTGATTCCTCAGGCATAATCTCTTCTTCAGTCACAGCTAGCTGAATCAAAATATTTGAATTCGGTTATAAATGCAATATTGGACTTTATTCATGGAAGATTGTTGTGGTGGCTCCAAATAAGATGCTTCAAAGCAGCGTCCACTTTTCCATTGACCCCTGCAGGCTTGGAGATTTGCTAAGCCACCAAATTTTATCGATGTGAAGACATGTTGCCTGCGGAATACCATGCATTGACCGTAATGATGGCAGTGTCATTACGGTTATTTTGTCTCTTGTGTTCTTTCACAGAGGTATTCTTAGAATTAATTCTAACCCAAACTAACAGATACTTCGGTTCGCCATATTAAGCCAAACCAACCGCCAGTCTATGGTCTCGAACGCTCTCTTGAAATCCAAAAACCCTATGCCTATTATTACTTCTTCATCACATTGGCAAAACAGTTTCGCATGAATTTTTACTTTGCAAACGAGCTTGATGGCTACCCAAAATTTTGTTTGTTTCAATAAAATCGACAACTTATTCCTTAACAAAAATTTCGAGAAGTTTTTAGGCGAACTATTGGCACTGGATTGTGGCAGATTTTTTTCATTTGGAATGATCATATTCAATTTCTATTTTAATGGAAATGTTCCCGTAACTAGACTTGTATTGACTAGATTTGATACTTTATCTCCAATAATTGTTTCATGGCTTCATGACACTGATTTAGTTAAGATGGAGAAAAATTAATAAGTTTACAATATTATGATTATTTAAACATTTCAGCATTTAAATGTTTGAGTGAGGCTTAAAGCTTCTTGTTACATGAAAATTGTTATAAAGGTAGATCTTTTAAAATATGTTGATATATTACAGAATTTAGAAATTTTAAAAAAAGTTCCCTCTGTTATGTATAGTCAAGTGCTAGAAAGTAGAATAAATGGTAGGCAAATTTTATTTAATTTTTGTTATCACTCGGGTCATGCATATGCTGCTAAGGGTTGCAAAATCCCATTAAAGAATCAAGAAATTTATCAGAATAATTTTTATCACTTTTTTATTATTGAATCTCATTTTTGATAAAAGATCTGGAAGTGTGGTTTTCCAAAACCTTCACTTTATATTATGATACAATTTTTCATGACAATCATTTCAAAGCATTCGTCCTCAATCGAGTCCTCAACTGAGAAGCAACTTGACAAATGCCACTTTATGTTACATTGTGATCCCGATTGCAATAATATCTCCCAAAAAAAATTTTATACAGCATGTGAAAAACATACGGTGAAATTATAAAATTATTAGGTACCTATTCCCGAATTTCTTTTTTATAAACATTGTATAACCGATAAATTTGGTTCACTCATGTCATCCATTTCTCGTTTTTAATTACTCCCATATACTTACTCAAAATAATTAATTTCTGTATTGCTTATTATCGACTTTTTTTAGTCTAATGTTATATTTTATTATTTTATTTTTATATTGCATATACATACAATGTCATTAAATTTATTTTTAATTGTGATTAATTTTGTATTATCTGTGTAAATTAACAACGCTTCACTAACACATATACTTTCTTCTGTAACAACAGCCCCTGTATTTAATAAACTTTGCATTTAGGATGTACTCTACAAGAGAAAACCATAAAGTTATAATATATTGTAGGTATTCTTTATAGAAAAAGATTTTGGAGAAGTAATCTCATTGTGGTTCTCCAATTTATTGTATTTGCAGGTCTATTTCAACCCTTTTTTATAAATGGTTGGACTAGAAAAATTTAAAAATAATTTTTAATTCTTGTCCATTTCTAAAATGTATGGAATAACAGTAATTTATGATAAAAGTATAAATTTTAGTCCATATTAAATTGAATTATTATATGTATTTACAATAGTTGTTAGAATTTACTAACTTATTTTTTTTATACAAAACTTGTCAAACACAAATGCATAGAAAAATATTTACAAACTTTGATGTGAATGTGATACTGGAATAAACATTTATAAGTTTATTATGTTTTACTTTTTTAGCAATAATTCGTACCTACCTAAAACTGCAAACCCGGTCTCCACACACTCCCATGCACCACTAAATTCTTTAATTCATTTTCGAATTCTTTGGTCCGCTATTGAAATAAATCAATTTAGAATTACAAATTACTCAACTTCAGCACAATTTATAAGTTCGGGTGCAAATTTTCACACATATCGATAGAATGAATATGATTCACTTACAAAAAAACCTATAGGCAAGTTATAAAAAATGCCAAGCAACATTATTATAGAAATAGAGTGAGAAAAGCACACAATAAGACTCAAGAAAATTGTTTAATAATTAACGAACTTAAGGGTAATTTAATGGAGGCCAAGCAATAGGTACCAAATTGATGTGAATGTGTTTAATCAATTTTATTGCACGGTAGCGGAGAAAATAGCAAAGGATCTCAAACCCCAATTTGGCCCACTATCTTACACCCAACACATTTCCATCAAAGATTCATTCTACCTTTCTGCAACAGATTTTTACATGAGATTAGGAAAGTTTTGCATGAAGTGAACAACAAAAACACTCACGGCATTGATAAATTATTTACCAGAATTCTCCGAAGTCTGCCAGATGAGGAACTATCTTCCATGGCTTATGCCATAAATGTCTCTTTTGAAATTGCAAATCTTAAGATGTCCCTTGTAAAACCTTTATTCAAGGGAAGCGATTTGAATGATCCAGCCAATTAACGACCTATATCTCTTTTACCATGCCTGTCTGAAATTATAGAGATCCTAGTTAAGTCCCGAATGATGACTATTTTAACTAAACTTGGCATCTTGACTAATTCCCAGTTAGGTTTTCAGGTGAGAACAAGCACACATGACGCAATGTTTGCCTTTTTGGAAGACCTTTATTTAAGACTGAATAGGTACTGGGGATATATAGCCGCAGCAGCGTTTTGTGACTTCAGCAAAGCGTTCAATTGCGTGAATCATGATATATTGCTTGGCAAGCTTTTCCATTACGGGTTTAGAGGTGTTGCTCTGAAGTGGTTTAAATCCTTCTTGTCGGATAGAAAACAGACAGTTGGGTCAATGGGCATTTCATCCGATGAATGTTCAATACACCATGGTGTTCCACAGGGCTCCCTTCTTCGACCCATTTTGTTTCTTCTGTATATTAACGACCTTGCATCTCTTCCCATAAGCGGTCGATTTAAAATTTTTGCAAATGATACAACTCCTGTGGTCTCACAAAGAGTATAAATCCCTGCTGAGAGTTATATCAAAAGATTTAGTAATGATTAAACAATGGTGCTATGTCAATCTTCTATCTTTAAATGTAAGCAAAATCAAATTATTATGTATTAAGTTTGAATACAGGGACCAAATAAATATACAAGACAAACCATTGGAAATTAATAACTGTACCAAGTTCCTTGGGATTAATATATCGATAGCTAATCGTTAATTTTGAATTATTGTATATGGTACATTTGCTTTTTGTGACTTTTTTAGCTTTATAAGCTTTCAGGATAATTTTTAACTATTGTTCGTGTTTAAGTCTTGTATTTATTTTATTTTTTATTTATTTAATAAAGCATGTTTTGAATTTGAATTTGATTCCGAATATGACGTCTAAATTAAAATTTTCTTTCGCCATCAATGGTGATTTTTAAGTGAATCAAAATCAAATTCTTCATTAACGCCTATAGCAATTACATTATTCACTACTACCTTAATACTAATTCAAAGAGATAAACTTAATGCGGATAACACATTACTCAAAAGTAAAAACATAGAGATGTAAAGTGGCGGCAACATTTAAATTAGGTACGTGAATACCTACTATCTTCTACCAATTTTCAATCACTTCATTAGCACATTCGATTGATAGGCGAATTTCCCATAACTTGTTCTGTGAAACTCTACCCCAAACAGATATTTGATCCTCGAGTTTCTGGATGGAACGTAAAAATTTGGACTCAATAACATCTGATACTTCCATCAGATTATTCAAATTTTGTGAAAAGTGCAAATATCACAATATTTCCGTGTTATTTTCAACGTAATAACATTTAAAACTTGGATAATTTCCTGTATATTAATTCAATCAAAATGTATGCGTTTTTTTTTCAGCCAACTCGCTCAGCAAACCTTCTTTGCACTCTTTCCAAAGTATCTTTATGTGTCGCGTAGAAAGGTTGCCAAACTGCACTAGCAATACTGGCATATTTCAGAACTTAGCGTACCCAAACATTTTTAATGATAAAAATATTTATATTCAAATTCAGATTCAGATTCTTTATTCATGCTAATGTTTAAAATACAAAACTTACACAAGTCAATAATACTATGATAATAAATAAATGTCCACACATATGGAATTATAGATAAGTCACAAGATGAAAAAATGACATTTACAAAACAATTCTAAAATAGAATAAAATTACATATCAAAACAATTACAACAGATTTAAAACAAGTCTAAAATACCTAAAACTGAAAAGACAGTTCACTCTTCTCAAATTCATCCAATGAATAAAAAGCATTGCCGCCAGGAAATTTGGACCATTTTGGCATTTTTTCAGTCTGAAGTAGGGAGTAGTTAAGTTATCTCTGTAGCGTATATCGTAATTGTGATAGTCACTGTTGGCGTTAAATTTATTGATGTTAGTTTTGGCATAAATCACATTCTCCAGAATAAAAACACATGGCATTGTCAAGAACTCAAGTCTGACAAAAGCATTCCGACAGTCCTCCCTGTATGATAACCCAGCTATTACCCTTATAGCTCTTCGTTGCAGAGCAAAGATTCTATGAGCGTTGGCCGCCCGCCCCCATACAATTATACCGTAACAGAGAAGTGAATGGCAAAGAGCAAAGTATGCGGTTCTGAGTATTTTATTGGAGACAGCATCTGAGAGACTCCTGAGGACAAATACACTTTTGCTGATCTTAGCTGCAAGACTGTCAATATGACAATCCCACTTTAATTTGGAGTCCAGTATTACTCCCAGAAATCGTACCTCATCCTCCATCTCCAGATGCGTTTCACAGTCTCTCAGAGAAAATACCATCCACTGGTTTTTGATTCGTTCAAAATCAGATTATTCGCAAGAAACCACTCGCTCACAGCCGACTGCATCTCGCACGTTCTCCCAGCAATCTCTTCGCAGGTCCTGAGTCGCACACTGCAGGTAGTGTCATCAGCAAACAAGACGAAGCTAACAGTGTCGTCGCCGCACTCAGGTAAGTTGTTGATATATATTGAAAACAATAGAGGTCCTCAGACTGATCCTTGCGGGACGCCCACTGCCAGCCCATGCTCTCCGATAACACACCATCCACTCGCACACGTTGGACCTATTTGCAAGGTAAGGTAAGACTGCATTATTTTTAAGCTACTGTCATCAAAATTATAGGCTTGAAGCTTGCTTAGAAGGAGAACGTGAGAGACACAATCAAACGCCGTGCTCAGGTCGCAGAAGATGGTGCTGGTATACTCCAAACTCTCAAACTACTCCAGTACTCTCGCAACAAACTCTGTTATGCTAGAGATTGTGCTGTACTGCTCCCTAAAATCATGTTGAGCATCAGTGAAAAGATTATTGCTTTCGAAGTAGTGCAGTATTTGAGCAGAAATGCACTTTTCGAAAACCTTTGACAGAACAGGGAGCAAAGAAATGGGCCTATAGTTGCCCATATCATCCCTTCCCCCCTTGCCCTCGTAAATTGGAACAATCAACGCACACTTCAGTATATTTGGGAAGTACATACTCTCAATACACTGATTTATGAATTTAGTTAGAGGATAAATAATAATTTCTCGTATTAATTTTAATAAAGGGACATTTAGATTAAAAATATCCCGGCTAGTTTTGTTTTTCAGGTTTTTTATTATATCCCTAATCTCCACAAAGGTCACTGGTCTAAAAGTGAACCCCGGTCCCTGTTTGACTGTCCCTGAATGACCAGGAGCATTATCCACCTCTTTAAGAGTGGGGAAGACAGAACCCATCAACCTCTAGGCTCTATTCACTGTTCTCCAGTACCCATGACCTTTATATTGTTTGTTTATATCGATCACCGGACACAGACGCGCACATGTTTTGTCGGAATTTGCTGAGCTTGCTTGACTCCTTGCCCTTGAATTGCAAAATAATTTTATGTGGTGACTATAATATAAATTTTTCCTGTGTGTGCGCTGCTCAAGAATCTCTCCAGTCCATTTTCGACTCCTTTGGGATTGTGATGCATGTAAACTCTCCAACCAGAGTAACCAAAACTAGTTCTACTACCATTGACTATGTCGCTTCATCTTTTGATCCAGAATTGGTCAACTGTTCTATTTTTAGTGCAGGGTTTTCTGACCACGAAGCAGTATTAACGAATTTCTCATTGAATTCCTTATGTAAGGGTGCTTCCCGCAAATTGGGCAGAATATTTTCGGATGGAAACTTTTTAAATTTCAGTCAAATTTGCTTATCAGTTGACTGGGTCGTCCACTCAGATGATGTTGACTCTGAGTTCTCTAGATTCATAAATACCCTATCTAACCTGGCGACTAAATCCTTTCCTCTCAGACCCATCAAAGTCAAACGGCATAAACCATGGTCCACTAGTGGCTTGCGTACTTCTGGAAAAAATATGCGATCCTTGTCTCATCTAAAAAAATTCTCGGATAGCGTCTTCTTCAATGATTACGTAAAATTATACCGAAAAGTCTATCAGAAAACCATAAAAGCCGCCAAAGACATTTATTATAATAGGAGGCTGGCAAACTCCAAAAATGTTGCAAAAGAAACATGGTCAATTTTATATATGCAAACTAAATAGTTCTGTATCAGTCTACTATCAGAACGTGCGTGGTTTGCGTACTAAATTGGTAAAACTAATCAGTTCCATTCCTTTAGTTGCATACCAAGTACTCGTTTTTACAGAAACGTGGTTGAGTGATAACTTTCTTGATGTAGAACTGGGCATGGACAATTACAATATTTACAGAAGTGACCGAACTCCA